CAATTTCTAGAAATTGGGGACGTAAACAGGCCGGTTGATCTGACCTCAGGACGAATTTAATTGCCTCATAACTTCTGCAATTTAGTGATGTCAAAAGAAGAATTGGATGAAAAAGTATTTTCCAATATTCAAACCAATAATAAGAATCACGATTGGCTGAGTAAACGAGGTATTCTTGTGGGAAAGAACAAAACGTCTACGACCTTAACAATTTTATTCAGTCTAACATACAAAGCGAGGCAGTCACAAACAAGTCCATCGACCCTGTTGAGGAAGCAGATGAAGCAGTTAATTATCAAACAGAATTTTAGAATTCACTAGATCTGCCAGGGATACCATCACACATACGGCAATTGAAAATCGGCGTGCCAATTATCATGTTGCAAAATATCAATCAGCCAAAACTTTGCAACGCCACGCGCCTTGCAGTAAAAAATTAATCAGCGACGTCGTAGAAGCAACAACCTTGACAGGACCTTTCAAAGGTGAAGATGTCCTCATTTCTCGCATTTCTTTCACTCTAACAGATATTCCATTTCAATTTAAGAGATTGTAATTTCCAATTCGATTGGTGTTTGCAATCACCATCAACAAAGCTCAGGGTCGATCTTTAGAATTGTGCAGTTTATATCTATTGCTTCTTGCTTCTTACATGGACAATTATATGTTGCGTGTTCAAGAGTCGGCAAACCAGACAATCTCTATATCTCCACAGACAATGGCACAACAAAAAATATTGTATACCCACAAGCATTGTGATATTAAACATGTTAGAAACGTGCGCTTTCTCTTTTTTTCTTTCCCATTTAAAAAGACTAGACTTTGCAGTAGCTACATAACTTCACGCATATTTGTGGTTACTTTAAATGCCTCTACGTGGCGCCACAAAGTAGAGTATTTCAGGCAGGCATTTATTTCGTCCACTGGTGTCGCTCGAGGAATTACAGGTAATGTTTGCCTGAAATCTCCTGCAACCAATATTAACGCGTTCCCAAATGGTCTGATGTTTCCACGTAAATCTTGCAATGATCGATCAAGAGCCTCGAGCGATTTTTTGTGGGGCATTGTGCATTCATACCAAACAATAAGTTTGCATTTCTGCAATACTTTTCCCAGGCCGGATGCTTTGGAAATGTTGCACGTGTGACTTTCAATGAATTGCACGTTCAATGGCAATTTCAAAGCCGAAGTAGCAGTTCATCCACCTGGTAGCAATGTCGCAGCAATTCCGGACGATGCAAGAGTTAAGGTTATGCCATTTTGGGATCGAAATGCTGCCAGAATCAATCTAATTAGGAATGTTTTACCACTTCCTCTTGGCGCATCTAAGAAGATTTCTCCCAGCCCGTTATTGACAGTTTGAATTATTTGATTGTATATGCCTCTTCACTCAAGTGTTAGCTTAGGATTATTTGATTAAACATACGACAACAGGTCACCCGTGTTGTAATTTTGTTCACGACGCAATTCTACATCGAACGAAGCAGCAGCAGATCGATTCGGTGATGGCATTTCCAAATGATTTAGAACTATGTTCGCGATTTCTAAGCACAAGTCTTCAATCATTATCAACGCTTCGTTGTAGATTTTGTGCTGTCAAATCCATGGTCATATTTGAATTTTCCTTTCGTATTCGACGGATAATATCTTCAGCCATATGCGATTTATATTTCTCCCATAACTCTGTTGGAGATGAAGGAGAGCCGGTGATCAATATGATTGCAAACAATGCACGAATTTGATTTGGATGTGACGTGTTGGACGCGTCATTAATGTACACATCCCAATGTCGGTCGTTCTGCAATGAATTCAGAGCTTGACATGCACTACGGGAAGTGGCATGTGTTACTCCGTTGACAAATCTCAGTTGCTGGAAAGACGTTGGACCGGGCACATTTACCAACAGCATAAGAAGGAAGAAGCATTCATCCTGATTGGGATGGACGGTGTACAGTCTGCCAATCATAGTTTATTTGAATATGCCAGGTTGTCCGTCACCTCGCTCTTCTCGTTTGCGTCGTTCAAATAATTTTCTACTGCCATTCCATGTGTAATACGTAGGCACTTCATAATACAGCAGTGTTTTGGCAAACACGTCTTTCTGACATAACGTGAAGAAAGCAGTTAACGCTGTAGCCGGTGGATTCATAGCTGTTTGTTGCACATTTACAGTTGAGAAATAAATGTGTTGTCCAATTTCATGTTTTTGAAACAAAAACAAAAAATACTAATGAAATATTTCAATTCAAACGCAGATCAATCGACACAGCTCAATTTCACCAGCAATTGCACTGAAAAATAAGAACAGTTATAAAACGAATTAAAAACAATGAAAAAAGAAACAAATAAACTATACTCACGAAATGAACAGTATGGAAAACAACAAAGAATCAACACAGAATTGTGTGACATTCCAATGCAATGTCACACAAAATGATTAAATCAAAATGAAAATAAATCAAAATCTATGAAATTTGAATTTATCAATGCAATCGGAAACAATGAAATAGAATTGTAATAGGTTTTGTATAGCTTGTGTTGAGCTTACGTGCAACAGATGGCGCTGTTTAGAAAAAAAAACATGGATTCACCTGTCACAGGTGTGACATCTACATTGTAGATATATAAAAACATGCACGTACTCGAATGGAATGTTGGGACAAAATTTCAAAGCAATCGGTGAAGAACTTTCAGTGATTAAAGCATGTTTTGCTCCTGCGTCCTACAGATGGCGCTGTTTAAAAAAAAAAACATGTTTTTTCCCGTCACAGGTGAGGCATGTATATAGTAGGTGTATAAAAACACTCGCCTATTCCAATGCAACGTTGTGCCAAAATTTAAAAGCAATCGGTAAAGAGGTTTCGAAGTTTTCCCTCACATGAAAAACACAGTTTTTCATAAAAGGCATGTTTTTTTCCGTCACAGACGTGGCATCAATATAATATGTATATAAAAACCCGCTCTGATGGAAATGGAACATTGTGTGAAAATTTCAAAGCAATCGGTGAAGAACTTTCGGAGATTAGCGATTTTGAACAAACGAACATTTTCATTTATATTTATATAGACGACGCTAAAAGATGTGTAACGTTTCTGTTGTTACGTTAAATATGGTGATAATAAACACAAACACTAAGAGAATATATATATATATATATATATATATATATATATATATATATATATATATATATATATATATATATATATATATATATATATATATATATGCGAACAAGCCTGAATGGTCCCCAGGACAATATGCAACTGAAAACTCTGGGGTGTGAGTTTTCAGTTATATATATATATATATATATATATATATATATATATATATATATATATTATATATATATATATATATATATATATATATATATATATATATATATATATATATATATATATATATATATATATATATATATATATATATATATATATATATATATATATATATATATATATATATATATATATATATATATATATATATATATATATATATATATATATATATTGCTTGGCGAGCAATGGTGTGATGGCTAGTAGAGTGCACTGAGAGTCAGTGTTGAAGAGTGTGGTACCTCTCAAGCGTCTTTACTAAACCACTCTTGAAAGCAGACTGCTGATTATTAATTGATGAGGATTATGCCACCCAAGAGGTGGCATGCGTATGCATAGCTAGTAATGCTGATTATTTGCAATCGGCTGCTTATATATTATATAATCGGTCCGCACGCCACCTTACAATCCTCTGGCTGTGACGTTAGGTATATTACAGGCATAATATACTCACTACAGGAGTTAGATTCAGGCCTTAATATTATATTGACAAGTTTTGTTGACCCATGTCAATATTATTATCTACAGATTTGTAATGGTTACAAGTTTTTGTGGTGCTGCACGTGTTGCTGTGGGTGAGGTGAGGCACCTCACTTGAGGGGCCGTAAGCCCATTGCAGCTTCCAACCTGCTGTGTTTCTATGAAGGCTCGGGCATCATTGATTGTTTTTGTTTTTTTGTCGTATTCTTGGTGATAGCAGAGTAAAATCTTGTGTTAATTGGTTGTTGATACTTTGCTGGGTTTGCTTGATGGATAAAGCTTCGCCAATGTCCAGTCTTCTGTTGTCGCTGTTTGTGTCTATTACCTGCTTGATTGGGTTCTGTGAGTTCTTCTACTCCCCAAGCCCGGCCCGAGGCCAGGCTCGATTTGTGAGAGTTTGGTCCACCAGGCTGCTGCTTGGAGCGACCCGCAGGGATATATATCCATCACAGACCGGCTGATCCGGAACTTCTCTTAGAAACCAGTCCAGTTTTCTCTTGAAGGTGTCCACGGTTGTTCCGGCAATATTTCTTATAGTCGCTTGGAGGACGTTGAACAACCGCGGTCCTCTAATGTTTATACAGTGCTCTCTGATTGTGCCTATGTCACCTCTGCTCTTATTTTGTTGTTTTTCAACCTATCTCTGGTGATGCTCTGGTTATGTGAAGTGACTATATATTTCTTCTTGGAATCTTCTTGTTTGTTTATTATTCGGCGTCTTGAAAGTGTTGTTGTTGTCTTGTCTATTGAGTTCGAGGGGTATGACAGTGTCCATGTGGGCATTAGAACAACACCCTTGGAAGAGGCAATAACGTCTTGCAAGGGGGAGTTTGTTTGGTGTCAGGAAAGTTTTACATGAACAAGTTGGCATCCTCCTTGCTTTATAAGCAAGCATATAATTAAATATTAAGCATTTAATTAATTCAGTCTTCTGGTTGATGTCGGTAGAGGTTACATTTATATCAATAATACTTTACATGACTGTCTTTTACATTTTGTGACAAGTGGCGAAGAAGTTCCAGTAGAACATTGCACTAGTAGGGACCTGTAATGTATTGTTTCTTAGACCAAACGGACATCAATGCATTACCGGTCGTTACTATTTAAATATTCTAGACGAACTTCCTCTTCGTGGTTATGCTAATTGTCTTACTAATATTCATTGTATTTTCCAGGAAAGGAGCACCTTTCTACCCACGTTTTCATCAAATAATATCGCGACTAGAGGATGCAGGGATCATAAGCTACTGGACGAAGGAGACTATATCGAAGCGTGTTAGAGAAAACAGAGCAAGTGCAGCTTTGGACACTCAGATTATCCTGGCACACACAGACCAGGTACATATTGCCTTTTTATAGCTAACATTTCAATAGTTTTGTATATAGTTTTTCAAAAAATTATATATATATATATACCTATATATATATATATATATATATATATATATATATATATATATATATATATGTATATATATATATATATATATATATATATATATATATATATATATATATATATATATATATATATATATATATATATATATATATATATATATTTATATGTATATATATATATATATATATATATATATATATATATATATATATATATATATATATATGTATATATATATATGTCGTACCTAGTAGCCAGAACGCACTTCTCAGCCTACTATGCAAGGCCCGATTTGCCTAATAAGCCAAGTTTTCATGAATTATTTGTTTTTCGACTACCTAACCTACCTAACCTTACCTAACCTAACTTTTTCGGCTACCTAACTTAACCTAACCTATAAAGATAGGTTAGGTTAGGTTAGGTAGGGTTGGTTAGGTTCGGTCATATATCTACGTTAATTTTAACTCCAATAAAAAAAATTGACCTCATATAGAATGAAATGAGTAGCTTTATCATTTCATAAGAAAAAAATTAGAGAAAATATATTACTTCAAGAAAACTTGGCTTATTAGGCAAATCGGGCCATGCATAGTAGGCTGAGAAGTGCGTTCTGGCAACTAGGTACGACATATATATATATATATATATATATATATATATATATATATATATATATATATATATATATATATATATATATATATATATATATATATATATATAGTATATATATATATATATATATATATATATATATATATATATATATACTGCCATACTGCCCATACTGCCAGGAACACTCTGCATCTGGTGTACAGGACCCCTTAATCACTCGACCATCAGCCGAGGCTAATTCCCCATTATCCCGCCGGCACCCTGATGGTAATCATCTCATGGTATTTTTATAAAATCACCTCATTCTTTGGAGCACACGTGAGGAACACAAATGCGAACAAGCCTGAATGGTCCCCAGGTATATATGCAACTGAAAACTCACACCCCAGAAGTGACTCAAACCCATACTACCAGGAGCACTCTGGAACTAGTGTGCAGTACCCCTTAACCACTCGACCATCACGACTGGACAAAAGATGATGGTAGCCGAGGCTAATTCACTATCATCCTGCCAGCACTTTGATGGTAAACTTGGGCATGGTATTTTATCAAATCACCTCATTCTTTGGTGTGGGTGGGGGGGTCCTGTACACCAGTTGTAGAGTGCTCCTGGCAGTATAGGTTCGAGTCACTTCTGGGGTGTGAGTTTTCAGTTGCATATATGCCTGGGCAGGCAGGTGGACTGACTGGCTAGTAGGAGGGCAGGTGGACAAGCTGGCTAGTGGGCAGGCATATGGACTTGCAGGCTAGTAGGTGGATACCCCACAATTCCCCATTACCTCGTCTGATGCGTTTCCAAATTATCTGACATTACCATCAGAAAAATGGGAACATCAAATGATTTGATGTTCCCGTCACTGAAAAATAAGTAGAACAGTTAAAAAAACGAAATGAAAAAAAAATTAAAAAATGAACTACTCTCACGAAATGAACAGTATAGTAAACAACACAGCTCAATTTCAATGCAATGTCACACAAAATAATTAAATAAAAAATGAAGAAAAATCAAAATCAATGAAAATTCAATCTATCAATGCAATCGGAAACATTGAAGTTGAATCATAACTTATTCAGTTTAGCGCGTGTTGCTATTACTTGCAACAGATGGCACAGTTTAAAAAAAAAAGCATGTGCTTACCTGTCACAGGTGTGGCATCTGATGTTCCAAATGATTTGATGTTCCCATTAGAAAATTGGGAACATCATATGATCTGATGTTCCCATCACTGAAATATAAGAAAAACAGTTGAAAAAATGAAATGAAAAACAATTAAAAAATTTAAAATTAAACTATACTCACGAAATGAACTGTATGGTACACAACAAAGTTCAATTCCTATGCAGTGTAACTCAAAATAGTTAAATCGAAATGAAAATAATTTGAAATCTGCGAAAATTTAATTTATCAATGAAATCAGAAATATTGAAATGGAATCATAACATATTTAGTATAGCGTGTGTTGCTCTTGCGTGCAACAGATGGCACTGTTTAAAAAAAATGTTTTTACCTGTCACAGGTGTGGTATCTATATAGTAGGTATATAAAAACATGTGCGTTTTCGAGTGGAACATTGTGTTAAAATTTCATAGCAATCAGTGAAGAACTTTTGGAGATTACAGCGTGTGTTGTCCTTGCGTCCAACACATGGTGCTGTTTAAAAAAAAAAAAAAAATGTTTTTTCTTGTCTCAGGTGAGGCATGTATAAAGTAGGTATATAAAAAAACGTGCCTTTTCGAATGCAACGTTGTGTCAAATTTCAAAGCAATCGGTAAAGAGATTTCGAAGATTTCCCTTGCATGTAAAACACATGAAAAACACAGTTTAAAAAAATGTGTTTTTTTCCGTCACAGACGTGACATCAATACAATATGCATATAAAAACCCTCTCGGATGCGAATGGAATATTGAGTGAAAATTTCAAAGCAATCGGTGAAGAACTTTGGGAGATTAGCGATTTTAAACAAACGAACATTTCCATTTTTATTTATATAGATATTTATAGATATATATGAAATGGTAATGCTGTAATTTGTATTTTTTTATAGGACGATGGCAAAGAAGTAGTGTTGGGTATGCAACACCTGCAAGGTGCTTTCTACCTTTTAATTCTGGGCTACAGCGTCGCCTTCCTCACCCTGCTGGGGGAGAACCTCACCCGCTGTTGGTCCTCGCCTCGGTAACACCTTCCTCACCCAACTGGGGGGAGAACCTCACCCAACTGGGAGAAGAACCTCACCCAACTGGGAGAAGAACCTCACCCAACTGGGGGAAAACCTCACCCAACTGGGGGAACCTCACCCAACTGGGGGAGAACCTCACCCAACTGGGGGAGAACCTCATCCAACTGGGGGGGAACCTCACCCAACTGGGGGAGAACCTCACCCAACTGGGGGAACCTCACCCAACTGGGGGAGAACCTCACCCAACTGGGGGAGAACTTCACCCAACTGGGGAAGAACCTCACCCAACTGGGGGAGAACCTCACCCAACTGGGGGAGAACCTCACCCGCTGTTGGTCCTCGCCTCGGTAACACCCTTCTCAGCTTCCCAGACCTCAGGCCAGGAATGATGGTTGTTGGGATGTAGTGATACAGTTTTCTTTCCCGTGTAAGACATAATTTTATGTAAGATTGTGTGTGATTGGTACTTCCCTTAGAAATTCTACTGTACTATTGAAGTAGAGATCATGGACATATCTAAACAGAAAATGTAAACAAAATTAAAGGTGTTTTATTTTTTTAAAACGGCATCTCCATTGTTATGAATAACCGCAGCTTCCACTAAAACTAATTACACAACACAACTTGATGAGTCCCCAAGTGGGGGAGTGTCAACTCCCCCACTTGGGAACACTACACTATATGTGTAGTGTTAACTCTCCTTAGAAGACATATGAATTACCACCGAAGTAAATGAGTGAATTAGTCTCATAGACTCATTTATTTCACTAATAGTATGGATGATGTCGGGGTTCCTCGGTGAGCAACAGTACACTCAAGGTCACTCACCGTAGCCCAGCGGGTCTTCACTCTATCCTCGCGGCGCCATTGTACGCCAGGAGAGTATCCCAGTCAATCCCAACCGGCCTCTGATCGAGAAGGAGTGGGAACACAACTTGTTCACTTAACTATTGTGTGCCCGCCCCGTCACGGGCTCTACTACTAACCACAAGGTCGCCAACTGGTGTTTCCGGTGTCCAGTAACACGTCAGTGGTTTTGTTGAATTGTGGTAACAGTGGCAAGGACACACTCAATAGATCTGATATCAGGCAGGTATTTACTTCTATCACGATCTGCTGTCAGGTATTATATTGCCACAAGAAATATGGAGGGGATGACATAAACACCAATGTACTTTGTATTTTACTTAAAACTCATTCAAAGACATCACAAGATTATATCAATAAGCAAACAGCTGTTTCAGGCGGGAGTCGCTCGTTCCCACACATATAATATGAACTCACCAAGCCGGCAATGCTCCCCCTCACGTCAATGTCAAAATCAGCTGGGCGACTACCCCCACGCGAATGTTATTTTATCTGTTTGCTTGTGGCGTGACGCGCCAGTTTCTTTAAGTTCTCAAAGATCACTAGAAGTTCGAACACACAATATTTGCGACAATAGCACGTCAACACTTCGCTGCACTGATCTTGAGCTCAATCAAACGTCTCTATATTAATAGACACAATAACTCACTATCATAGAATAACATACTACCCTTCATTTAATGATAACGTATGCAAGTATATATCACTGGAGTTC